AAACATTACTTGAGGTAAAAAACTAACACGAGTCAAAAGATATAGCAAATTTTGTAAGGCCACCACAGGCAAAAGAATAAGACGTTTGATAAATAGTAAATACCTCGTTGAGTATAAATTTCTGGTGAAGAACTAAGTGATCTCCTTGACTACACCTCTTTATTTTCAATTTATTTTAGCTGGAATTAATTTTCGCTGAAAAAAACTTTTTGAGTGTTTTATATGGAATTAATTTTCCCCGATTTTTTTTAGTTTAATTGAAGAAAATATAAGAAAAAAGGGATACTAGTATTCGCTGGTTTTTATTTTCATTGAATCATTTCTTCAGTGAAAGAAGTGATAATTAATTCCAAGAGAAAATAAAGTATTTTACAGTAAAAGCCGGCATTTATCTTTCTTTTTTCTATCAAATTTGAGTGGGTTTGGCAGACATATGTTGAATAATAACGGTGACAGCTTGCTCAAAAACAAATTTCTCATTAGTGATCCGGACAAGTGTGGGCGTTAAAACGACGTGGAAACACGCAAAACAATATTCCGTTTAATATTTGACAAAATAATGTAATTGATAATATTTATAAAAGCTAGTGGTTTAAATTCGGAATATTTCAGGGAAACAATAATTTTGACCACGTTTCTAGTTCTATTTTAGTCACTATGCTTTGACAGTTAGGATACCACTACAAAACAACTGACAAAAATATGAATGTACACTGAAGATCGCGGGGATCCATGTGCCAGCAGCGATATGGAAAATAACGTACGCCGCTGTTCTCCGTCGTGTTGTCAGTGATTGACAAGGCGTTTATCGGCATCCAACGTCGGCGTTTATCATTTAGCAAATTCTTCTGAACACGTCGTTGAACTTGTCAATTATCCCGGGCAATTACCGTTTTCATCTTAAAAGTTAAATGAATTACAGAGAGCCGCGATGACAACTGTGTGTACTCGACTGGGGAGCACATTTAGAAAGGTGCCAATGACTTCCATTCAAATTTTAGGTTTGAACATAATTTTCTATCAATAATAAATTTTTAAGTTTCTAAAATTCATAAACTGACACTTACGATTTTATTGTTTAACGTCAGGAGTTCCTTTTCCGTGATTTTCCGTCGGTCGGCCTTGCTTCGTTGTTTCTCTTGCCTGTACTGGTTGTAGCGATAGACCAGATACAGACCGGGAATGGCGAATAAGACCAAAGGCTTCATTGAGCTTGAGTTCATCAATTTACTTGTCAGCAATACATGGGAAACGCTGTTATCATAGATAACCAGCTGAAAAATAACAAATTACTGCACCGTACACGTATCACACGTTGTGAGATTGTTTTGAGTACACAGTGTAGTACCGCACAGCTCGTTTGCGGAAGTGAACGGCCTTTTATTTAAGTCTCGCTTTAAATCTCGCGAGAGAAGAAATCATCAATGAGAGAAAAGCGGTTTATTGCGGGGGCGGACATTGACAGAAACCAACAACATGAGAAAATGTAGTAGGGAAAATGATTCATTAATTTTTTTAAACATAGTTTTGATTATACATAATATACACATTTTATTTTATTTATTTCGAATTACTCGTGCGATGTTTTGTAAGAATCTATTGCCCCCCCCCCCACACTCAGGATCCATAGGGGGCCGCATGCGCGTTCCCATTTTCTCGGGAAAGAGGGTACTTTTTGACGATCTGTCGTAGAATCGTAGAAAAGGGGGTATTTTTTGCTTGTTTTCCCGAGATTCTCAAAATAGGGTGTGTATTTCAAAACACTTCCCGAGATATACAAAAAGGGGGGTTTAAAAGGAGTTCTAGACTGAAAAGTTTCCTAGATAGGGGGTGAAATTCATCGGAAAAGCCCGTGAAAGGGGGGTTAAATTTTCTTCTTATCCCTAAATAGGGGGGGGGGGGTAAAAAAAATGAGGGAACAAGCATAGCCCCCCCCCCTAAATATAGGGAGTGGGGGCGGGCTATTGCCAAATTGTAATGGCTCAAATAAACAGCTGTTGAAACATAGACTGTAGAAACACATTGGTCTTATTGTTCATAGAGTGGTCAAACAGAATATTGCAAGCCAGAATTATCATAGCCAGTATCATCAGTATAATGCATATTGTTCTTGCGTGAACCTACGACATCCTTTCCCGAAGTTTACTCACAATAGGGCGCCACCTATCAGTGTCATCAAAGAATGATAGAGGGCGTTGATGACAGTCATTAAAAACAAGTAACTGACTGTGCACTGATCAAAAGCCCCTGATTAAAATCCTCCGTTATTTTGAATGAAAAAAAAGCAAGATAAGCGACTCTTTTATAGTACAAACATTTGCTTTCATCCATAGATTATTATTATCAATTGTATATAATTGTACAGGAAATGGTAAATAAATATGCCTATGAATACTTTTCAAGCGTAGCACGCCACCATCATGCACGGTAAAATACGTCTTTTTTGCTAGCATGCCATTTTAGCTAATTTAGTTGACCTGTAATTTCGCTAATTCTAAATGTCGCTGATTTAAAATAAAGTATATTCTCACAATGAGAATGTTTGCACTTTAGCTGAATTATATTCTGTCAATTCTTACATTGAGTAAAATTCGCTGAATGGCATGTGTACATTTTTACAATATCATGTTTTTAATAGAACCGCTGGTGGCGCTATATGTTCGCAGTTGATGTCAGAACTACTAGCAGCACAGCTTGAGTGCAAGGGATTTGGACCATAACTATGATAGCTAATCACATGGCGTTAATTTTGACCTATCTCTTCTGTCCATTGCTGTCCAATTAGAATAGTTATCGACGGATTGTGTTTTATATCTTCACGAACTGCATATAAATATACAATATATAATAGGTCTTGACTATACTCTTATACCATTGAATAAATTCCATTACGCTTCATTCATTCAATAATGATGGATGAGCCAGAGATGCGGCAGCTTTAGACTCCACTAAAGAAAGGGGAAGTGAAAATATCTGATTACAGACCAAGGTTTTTGGATACAAACAGTTTAGATTCCAGTGAATCATCAACGTATCCGTCCTTTGCAGTTTCGGATTTCCATATACCATGACGTTTAAAACATCTTTCATTGACATTGGCATTAGCCGCAGCTGTCGCTCCCCCGCACCGTAATGAGTGTAACCCAATATTAAGTTTATCGTCGGCAACCTCTTTCAATCTTGCGACAAGGGTTTCCCGCGCCCTGGTATAACTTAAAGGTTTGTTTTTTGAAATACATTTTACAGAATCCTTTGTAAAAACTAAAGACTGAAACAAGTAGAAATCACTCTCCAAATCAATTTTACATACATTAACATATCTTTGAAGATTAAAATACGGGCATGCAATTGATGTCAATTTTGCTAAAACTATTTCATTTCCTTTCCGATACTGATCGGTTTTACTAGACTCAATACTGAGCGTCATATGCTCCCCATGGGAATGCACGTTGTTACATTCTATTGTACTTAACTCATCAAACGTAGAAATGCTGAAAAAGATAACGTAATCATGGCAATATCTCTAATTACTGCAACGTCACCAGTGTCTGTATACTTCGAACACAACCGTTTACTCTACCAACATTTCTGGTGTCACCGGGTCTTTCCGCTGCACTGGTCTTCCGCGACATCGTTTAGCCGATTCTAGTAAATTCCTAATATAGGTGAGATGTAGGGATTTCAAAACCAGAAATTTCGTGAGCCCACTTAATACCACACACTACGCTATTAATAACACTAACACCATGCTTTTCTTCAATCAGCTTTGTAATATATAATGTACAAAAATAGGATTTGCGGGCAACACCTCTACATTTTTTGCTGTTGCCCAAACCTTCCATTTTCTAAACGCACTAAAGTACTTAGTATTTGTATGCGAACTTCTAGCATCTAACAGTCTACTGGTTATCTGACTTGCTATGTTGATAATCTCCTCATCAATCGTCTCGCCTTCCAACTCACTTTGCACTCTTTCTTGCAAATTTAGACCTGCAACATAATAATATTACATTAAGTACTCGTATAATCAATACGGAGTGCTAGCTTATGAAATGCCATATACTGATCACTAAATATGCCATTTCTTCCCATTCCTTTTTGTATTATTTCTGTCGACGGCAAATAACGCCAATCTACGATATTCGGCATAAATTTCCCTTCTTTGGGACATAAATAT